GTAAGGCGAATGTTCTTTAATACCATAGATTTTATGGAATGGCACCCATAAAGTACTGGAAAACTGTTGAACACACGAAACAGTTGGCGTTAGATAATGTATTTCTATGTCGCATACCTAGCATGTGTTCCAGTCAGCTGCACAAAGCATGCAGAGAGCGCAAACGCTCAAGCACTTAGTGGGTGAAATAGACCCCTAAAAATAAAACATGAATTGCCGCATTAATCAATCGCATGCGTATCATTTCCATATCTAGTATGCAAAGCATCTGGACTTGAGAGACATTAAGGGCAACAGGCTGGTTCGATTTATCCCAAGATTGTTTTCAGTTTACAGCTAACGTCGGGATTTTCCAACGTATAACTGGCAAAATTAGCCTATGTAGCCCCACTCATATACCCTAGTCCCAGAATTTTTTCCTGCAAAAACGGTGGTTCTAGTGTTTTGGGGGTGGGGAAATAGGATAGGCAGAGAAGGAAACTTTTAGAAGTAAGTGCAAAGTGAAAAAAGCTAGTGTAAGTTGCTTCCCGTGGCCGCTGGGAGCAGGTTGTTCCGCATGTAAACTGAAGGTGTGTGCGCCGCTTCGCGCCGCGGACTGTACCATTCTAACTCCAGAACGGTAAGTTGGACTATAGTTAAGTTGAAGTAGACGACCTCCTAACTACCACTTCAATTTTTCGGGAAATCCAAGAAACCTGCAAGTTGACAGTCGGGTTTTTCCGCAATAAGTTAAATAATAATATAGATTAGGAAAACCTACAGATATAAATCAACAACACTTCTAAATACAGGAAAATAAAAATGTATTTAGCATTTATTAAAGTATATTCCACTGCGTGCCCTAATTCCCCACCCATAAAACCCTATAACCACCGTTTTCGTAGGAAAACATGCAGTTTGTAGGGATTAATGAGTGGGTCTACATAAGCTACTGTTGCCGTATAACTTAATATGTAGTGCGAAGTCAACGGCTTAACCCCTTTAAAACGTTGTATTACATAAATAGCGTTGTAGAACGTATCGCTTATTTCACTTGAGGCGGTTACCTTGTGATCATTTGAGGAATAAAAAGGACATGCAGATAGTGCTTAGGATCACCACTGTTGGTTAAAAAAAAATGAATTGCAGTGCAGGCCTCCAAAATACAGTTCGTCATAATTTTTGCAAACGCATCTTCAAATTCGCTAAGTTTCCTAAGTTAAAGAAAACGCCCTCATGACTGCTTTAGCAAACTCTTAGGTTTTTTGTTGTAAGCGTATTCCTCCTTTATACAAATGAAGCAATGAATTTCATTTTAGAAATTATAACGTCAATTTAACTTATACTTCTTAGCCGAACAAGCAAGAGTTATTAGTTAGGAAATTGTATAACCGTGGACGGAAATAATCGTGTTCCACAGTCCTCTATAATTTTACTTTATTACTGACCTCATCGATGTTAGTTCAGTGCTCATAAGCAGCTCACACCATCTTGTGGAAATAAAAACAACCTAAGTAACCCATCCGAAGAGGCTTAGTCTACTATGTGCAGATTTCACACTGCACACGGCTGCCTCGCCCTGCCTTACCCACGCGTCGTGAGTCCTCCGTATCTTTTGCATCGTAAATGC